ACATATTATGTATATGTTAAAGACTTATGTTAAAAGAAGTCCTTGTACCAGCTATCATTATAATGAAAAATTTCTCTGCTCCTAACATGGAGATGCAAAAAAACACAATAAATAAATAAATCAGCAGTCCATCCACAAAAGTTTCCAAGATTCTTAAATGTTTAGAAGGGTCCTGCTATTGCCACAGGCAAGCATTATCACCAGAGTCAAATACTGCCTTTTTGACATTACCGTCACCTCAAAGGCAGGCTGGACTCTCTGCCTCCGGTGTCTTCCTTAGTCTACTTGGTGTCCAGATATTGAGTTCTCACTGTGAGTCAATACGTGTTCAAGTTAATACATGCATTATCTCATTAAATTCTTACAACAACCCTAGGAGGAAGGTTCTATTTTCATTACCTTTTCACAATGGGAATTCCAAGACACAGGGAGGTTCTGTGACTTGCACAAAGCTATTGTGAGGTGGACCTAGGATTCAAACCCAGCTTTTGCTCTTAATCACTATACTATAAGATTTTCTTTCTACTACCTCTTTGACGATAACCTTCTCACTTAGACTGGCCCCCTCCTGCTCTCCAAACACATCTTGGATTTCCCAACTCCATGCATCTAGAATGTCATTCTATTAAAAATTCAAAGGAGCCTTATAGATTATCTTATCAAATACTCCTATGTTATCAATAACAAAGTAGTAATATGTGTCATGGAAAGAATACCAGCACTGGAACAAGAAAAGCCTAAAGTCAAAGCTTGGCTGTTTCAGTTATCTAGGGCTGTGTAACAAATCACTTCATAACACAGCAGTTGGAACAAAAGCAATTTACTACTTCTCATATTTATGTGGGTCAGCTGGTCAGTTCCTCTTCTGGTTTCACCTGAGCTCACTCACAGGACTGCATTCAGCTGGAGAGTCTGTGGGGGCTTAGAAGGCTTGTCATGACCTCACTTACATGTCTGGCTTTGCTTGGGCACCTTCCATGTGGCCTTTCAACCTCCAGATGCATGGTGGTCTTGGTGACAGCTGAAAATAATTTGTGACCATATTTAATCTACCTCACTTCCTAGTTGGTTGACCTTGGGCAATTTACTTTTTCTCTCTGAAATCAGTCTCCTATCTGGGAAACTGTGAAAGTAATCCCAATTGTCTCAGGTTTTCCTAAGTATTAGATGAAATGATATATGCCAAGTATCTAACAAACTCCTTGTCATATGACAACTATTTATCCAATGTTAGTTTCCCTTGCTCTAAATCATACAGTTACTTGACATATCTAGGGCCTGGAGTGAACCCTTCCTCCCACTCCCCACAATCTCTCTATAGTCTGCTTAAATCCTATAGTTCAATCAAAATGCAATTCTACTCTCATTTTCTTTACAAAAATTTCCAAAATCACTAGCCTTCAGTAACTGTCTATATTAGGAAATTCCAAAGTTCTGTGTATAAATGAACAGTTCTCAGCCTTTTCTTCATATCCCCATAGAAACACTTAGTTATGCATAATTTATCATTTCTGGCTAGCTGGATATAATTCAATCCCTTTTTCCCCAGCTTAAGAAAGCATATGGAAATGTGAATATCTTTATTATCCTTATAATCTGCTCAAATTTATTTTATAAAGGCAAATCATTTACAAAATTTGCTTCATTATCAACAAATTACTTGCAGTTACTGGTCTAAATCACTCATTTGACACTAAGCACATGCTCCTTTGTGTTTAAATCTTTTTAAGGATATATCCTGTCTTCCTAACTAGATTTAAAACACTAATAAAATCAAAGACCTTGATATATATACATACACACTTATAAATATATGCGTAATTATATTTATCTTGTAGTTCTATTATAGTGTACTAACCATAATAGAAGGGCAATACATATTTCCTATATACTCCCTGTTGAGGTTTATGTCAACAATGAGCATGAAGGGGTTCCTGGGTGACTCAGTTGTTAAGCGTCTGCCTTCAGCTCAGGTCATGATCCCAGAGTCCTGGGATCATGCCCCGCATCGGGCTCCTTGCTCCACGGGAAGCCTGCTTCTCCCTCTTCCACTCCCCCTGCTTGTGTTCCCTCTCTCGCTGTGTCTCTCTCTGTCAAATAAATAAATAAAATCTTTAAAAAAAAATGAGCATGAAGCAGCTTGGAACAGTGGGAAAGAAAACTGTATAGAAACACAGGCTCCAAGTTTATGTGCTGGCTCTAGGGTTCTGGACCAAGAAGTTACTAATCCCTTAAGCTTCCGTGCTATAATGGGAGAAAACACTGGATGAAGAGAATGGGGGCTCTTGGGTACGCAAAACTCACTATCTTAGACCAGTGGGTCTCAAAGTGTGTTTGGGGGTCACTTTTTATCAAACTGCCCAGACCTGATCCTTCCCTTACTCACTGGTATACCCTGGAATGGGAAGGCAAGAGAGAAATTTGGGAGATGTTCTCCTGGTGAGAACTGCTACAGCATCAGACTTTGAGTTTATTTCAGCGTAGTTAACTCTTAATAGTTTTATGCAGTTGCAGGCAGAAAGAATCTTTCTCCATATCTCCATAATTATTCTGCGTACTGAGAGTATTTTTATTAAATTGAACCAAGTTACTGTTTTCTCAAAGTAGATTTCTCATCTCTAGGGGCCTGGAGAGGGAAACATAAATTCACAGGTATCATTCAGTCTACAATCTACTTAAAAAACCAACCTTACCAAATTCCTAACCATATAACCATTTCCTTCAGTGCTTTTCTTTCTTATCACAGTCAACTCAAAAAAGTCCTTACACTGATATGAGTTTGCATAATGCCTGGAAGATAGCACAATGTTCGCTGCTTAACTAATCTCCAGCTGCATTGAGAGCTGTTCTCTCTGTGATAATTCACACTAACAGGTTGTTACGGTTATATTTATACCTACCACAGTAGGAGACACCAGAAGGTGCTGAATAAGTGCTTTTGGATTGACTAGAATGACCTGTAAACATCTTGGTTCTTTTCCAGAGCAGTGAAGAAAACCCGATAATTTACTCCAACTCTGGCTCTTAGCAGCTCAGAGAGGTGTCTTATGAAAAAGAAAGAGGGTAAAACCTTAGGGAGGTTGTTAGCAATTTAGCATTTCTAAGCCAGGTGGGAGCGTCGAATTTGCTCACTAAAAAGAGCAACTTGATCTCCAGGGTGTGGCACCAACAAAGCTACTGCTAATAAAGAGCCCTCACATTTCTTTAGCCCTTTATAGGTTACAAGATGCTTTCATATCTCCCATCTCGCTGGAGCTCCGAGCAACCTTGTCAGGCAGATGTTATTAACCTTCATTTTACAGAAGAAGCTAAGGTATAGGTGGCTTATATGATATGACCAAAGTCACACAACTAGGAAATGGCACAGCCAGAACAAGTACCAAGATACTCCTCGTTGAATTAATCATTAATCATTTTCAAGACGGGAAAGAAACTTAACATAAAATAGTTTAAGCAGGAGGGGCGCCTGGGTGGCTCAGTCGTTAAGCGTCTGCCTTCGGCTCAGGTCATGATCTCAGGGTCCTGGGATGGAGCCCCGCGTCGGGCTCCCTGCTCAGCCGGAAGTCTGTTTCTCCCTCTCCCACTCCTCCTGCTTGTGTTCCCTCTCTCGCTGTGTCTCTCTCTGTTAAATAAATAAATAAAATCTTAAAAAAAAATAGTTTAAGCAGGAAATAAACTTTTGACTTACATATAGCTAGGAAGGCATAGACGATATCGTGGTTATCGCCCCAAGATCTGTTCCCTTTTCTCTTGGTATCTCCCCTATTTCCTTCCCCATTATCCAGGCTCCCCCTCCATCCCAACTGTGGCACCATGTGCTTTTGGGGAAACTGACCTACTCCTGATTGGAAGAGAAAGGTTTGTGCTCAGGTTTACACTTGTCAGCATAATCCTACTTCCTGGCCGTAGTTATTGGTTCAAGGATGGGCATGTGATACTATATGGCCCAGTGAGAAGCAAGGAGAGGTTTGTTGAGAGTTTCAGAAAAAGAATTTACTGAATTTTCTGAGAAAGTACCCGGAAGCAACTGCCTCCCACCAGATGTTAGGGGAATGGATACAACTGCCATTTTATAACTATGTAGAAATCCAGACCCTAGAATGAAGCTGACACTGTGTATGGCAAACAGGGTCTAGGATACATTATTCAACTACTAGATCAACTAATTCTGAAGCACAATCTATCTCCGGACTTTGCAGTTTCGTAGGCCATGGGCTACCTTAGTATACTTCGTGGCAAGTAACAGAAAACTCAACTCAAATTGATCTAGACATGAATGGGCTTCCTGTTCCTTGCCTGTTTGCCATGGAGTATACTAAGGTAACTGAAGGAATGGAAGGGGGAGCTTGAGAAACAAGGGCTTTGGGGGCTGGAATTCAGATCTCCATGGCATCAGGGCTTTACCTCTTCATCTTGCACTCTCTCATTCTCTTCTACTGCAGACATGCCTCTTCCACCATGTGGCAAGTAAATGATCATCTGCCACTTCAGTGTATCAACTGGTGTGCTGACAGGAAAGAGGCCTTTCAGATTGAATAATCTGAGGAGAGTCTAATAAAGAGATTATATACAAAAATATGGGAAGGGGGCGCCTGGGTGGCTCGGTCGTTAGGCGTCTGCCTTCAGCTCAGGTCATGATCCCAGGGTCCTGGGCTTGAGCCCCACATCGGGCTCTCTGCTCGGCAGGAAGCCTGCTTCTCCCTCTCCCACTCCCCCCTGCTTGTGTTCCCTCTCTCGCTGTCTCTCTTTCTGTCAAATAAATAAATAAAATCTTTTAATTAAAAAAAATATATATGGGTAGAAATACCACAAAGGATAATGTAAGGCCTCAGAGCTAGACACACTTGAGGAGATGTTACCTCTCTGAATGAGGGATGAGGGAAGGTAGCAGCTACTGGGATCAGAAACCAAAAGGCCTTTGTGGAGAGAATCACCTGACATCAATTATGTCAAAGGATAAATCAGATTGCCTTCCAACCTCAATCTCTTCCTTCTTTCAGTTACCTGCTTGTGCTTCCCATTGACCAACCAGACTGAAAGCAGAAGAGAAGGAAGCCTGTGGAAGCACTCCACACAGGTCAGCCTTCTGAGGCACAGTGGGCTGGAGAAGGGTGGAGGATAGATTTAGAAGGGCATAAGGAAGACGTCCAGTACAATAAAGTTAGCAACCTCTGCAGAATGACAGCGTTTTTTAAAATTAAGTAATCTCTATGCCCAACATGGGGCTCCAACTCACACCTCCAAGGTCAAGAGTTGCATGCTCTACCAACTGAGTCAGCCAGGTGTCCCCAGAGCATTTATTTTTAAGTTATCTGAATGTCAATACCAGTAAAAGGAGTCTGGCCCTATTTGGGGCAGTGGCTGACTTCTTGGGCCAATTGTATAAACATACAAATAATTCCTTACTCTCAACAAATACTCTGTAGAAGAGTGTATCAAGGAGAGTTTTATTACAAAACATAAATATCACCATGAATGAGCAGAATATTTAGATCTTACCGGGTTTTCCACTGACATTTTATTTTATTTTACTTTAATTCAATTAATTAACATACAGTGTATTATTAGTTTCAAAGGCAGAGTTCAGTGATTCATCAGTCGTATATAACACCCAGTGCTCATTACATCAGGTGCCCTCCTTAATGCCTATCACCCAGCTCCCCCAGCTCCCCACCTACCTCCCCTCCAGCAACGCTCAGTTTGTTTCCTATAGCTAAGAGTCTCTTATGGCTTGTTTCCCTCTCTGATTTCATCTTATTTTGTTTTTCCCTCCCTTCCTCTATGGTCTTCTGTTTTGTTTCTTAAATTCCACATATGAGTGAAATCATATAATTGTCTTTCTCTGATTTATTTTCCTTAGCATAATACCCTCTAGTTCCATTCCCCTGACCTTTTTAATTGATGCAAGTTAAATACAAGGCTAGGGCTATCATAAAGCATCTCAGATCAGTGTAGCAGTGTTATGATGGGCAATCACATTATTATTGTCATTGCTATTATTATCATTATAGATTATAGCAGTATCTTTATTGCTGCTAAAACAAAGTATTATTATTATTGTTATTACTAAATTATAGCTTAATGGTTAGAAAAAGGACTTTTGCTCATAACAGCAAAAGCTGAAAACTTAAATTTTCTTGTTATGTTCTCACAATGGAATATTAACCAAGAATGAAAGTAGTGACAGCAAAATTTTAATAACATAGAAAATCCCAGAAGATAATATAGATTATTAAAATCTTTTTATAAAAATAAAATATAGGTGTCTTTGGGGCACCTGGGTGCCTCCGTCAGTTAAGCGTCTGACTGTTGATCTCAGCTCAGGTCTTGATCTCAGGGTCATGAGTTCAAGCCTTGGGTTTCGGTTCCATGCTGAGTGTGGAGCCTACTTAAAAAAAAAAGAAAGTGGGTGTCTTAAGGGGGAAGCAAGGGGATGGGATAGGGGTAGAGAACATAAAAAAAATGTAAGTTGTCTGTTCTTAGTTTAGGTGGTAGGTTCATGATGTTCATTTTATTAGTCATGATAGATAATTAAATAAATAAATGGATATGATTAGGGCTCTGCGCTGGACCAATGATGAGAGTGTTTCTATCAAAAACTGATGATTATATTTCATTCAGTACTCTCTACTTAGGAACAACAACAATATAATCATTCACCAAGAATAATGTTCATAACAGCTTTATCTGTAATAGCAAAAAAACCCCCAAAAAACTGAAAATAACACAAATGTCTAACCCAAATGACATTAACTGAAGTTGGCGAATGATTAAACAAAACTGGTATATCTGTATAGTGGAATACTACTCAGCAATGAAAAGAAACAAACTAGTAATAAACACAATAATCTGGATGGATATCAAGGGCATTTTGCTTAGTGAAAAAATACTAGTTTCGAAAGGCTACTCACTGCATGACTCCATTTAATAACATTCTCAAAAATGACAAAACTATAAGATGTGGATGCCAAGGGGCAGATATATAAAGGAGTAGCATTAGGGAGTTCCTTTGTGGTTATGGAACAGTTTTGCATCTTGAATGTGGTGGTGGTTACACAAATATACACATAAGATAAAACTGCATAGAACTACACACACACACACACACACCAAAAAACCAAGTATATTAGAAAGATATAGTACTCTAAGCATGTTGGTACAGATATATGAATGGACAAAAAGATCAATGGAATGGAAAAGAGGGACCAGTTATGGATCCAAATTAAGTATTTGATAAGATGACATTTCTAATCAGTGACAAAAAAAAGATGGGTTTATTTAGTAAAAATTATCTGACCTAAATAGATCAGAGATATTATAAGTAAAAAAAAAAAAAATGGTTAAAGTGCTACAAGAAAGCATGAGATAACTTTTCTTAAATAATCAAGGAGAGCAGCGCCTGGGTGACTCAGTCAGTTAAGCATCTGCCTTCAGCTCAGGTCATGATCCCGGTCCTGGGATTGAGTCCTATGTCGGGCTCCCTGCTCAGCGAGGAGTCTGCTTCTCCCTCTCCCTCTGTCCCTCCCCGCTGCTTGTGTTCTCTCTCTCTCTCGTGCACTCTCTCAAATAAATAAAATTAAAAAAAAATAATCAAGGAGAAATTCAGAAAACATAAAATATTTATATAGATGGCTACATAAAAATTAAAAATATCACACATGAAATAATACAATAAACAAGGTAAAAAAGATAAATGACAAGCTGGAAAATATGCTTTCAAGACATACAACAGACAAAAAATTGATTTCCTTGAGATATAAAGAGCTCCTACAATAAGAGAAAACCAATATAAAAATGGGAAAAGACTTGAACGAGAGTTAATAACAATAACAAACTAAAACACAGCTGCAAAATATATAATATGATATGAAATCTCATTCACAATTTTATTTTTAAAAGATTTTATTTATTTATTTGACACGGAGAGAGAGAGTGTGTGCACAAGCAGGCAGAGGGAGGGGGAGAAGCAGGCTCCCCACTGAGTGGAGAGGCCGATGACCTGAGCCAAAGGCAGATGCTTAACCAACTGAGCTACCCAGGTGCCCCTCATTCACAATTTTAAAGATATAAATTCTCTCTCTGTCAAATGGATAGATAAAATCTTTTTTAAAAAAGATATAAATTTTAAAACTTTAAAAAAGTTTTACAATAAATTTTATTGACCAAGGTTTATGGAGAAAAAAAAAAGAAATAATTAACATCTTAAGAAGGTCAGAGACCCTAAAGCTTATAGGTAATCATCATCTCATTCCTATGTTTATTCATTCAAAAACTCACAATACTTAGCATCTGTACATGCCAGGCATTATCGGTGCTGAATACGCAGCAGTGAACAAAATAGATAAAAACCCCTGCGCTCATAAAGCTCACATGCATTCAGGTAAGGAATAGAGAGGCATGCTAAGAGCCAGTTTTGGGTGAAGACAGGAGTAAGATGAGAGAGACAAAGGTAAAATTTACCTATTTGACATCTCTACATACAAATCTCATTCTCAACTGCCTGGGAATATCCTACCCATCTATCTCTGAGTTCATCTCTAATGAATCCTACTTCCTCTTTGACTTCTTCCCTTCTACATTGTAAAAAAATATTTTTACAAATTCTAAAACAGTATATAATGTGATGACAGTTTTTCATTTCCTGCAATGTGTACAATTGTGCCTTGGATGTATCGAATGTTTGGTATATGAATAAATGAATTTTTGTCAAAGGCAGCATGTGGACTATGTAAGCAGTAGAGCTGTTATAAGAGAAAGCAGATGGCTTACAGGGAGGGGGCAGGAGAACAGATGACCAGGTTACTGCTGCTCCAAGATGCAAAATATACCTCTAATTAACTGCAGTAAATGTGAATCATCAATACCGTGTCAGCAAATATGAAATCATTTTCAATAGGCCATAATGTAGCTAAAGGAAATAATGAAATACAGTAAAGAGAGTCATGCAATCCATTTTTGTTTGACTATTTGAAAACAAAGTATTAATAGGTAAGGCTATAAACACAATGGAAATATATTTAATTAATAGCTAAATGAAAATACTTTATGGTCAAAGAATTGCTTTTTAGGCTTTTCACCACCTTAACTTTAATTAAGTAAAACTCTTTTGAAGTAGAACTTAGTCTTTTTGAAATGAAATATGTCCCCCAGTGCTATTATTATAAAGCTGAAACACAACATCCTTGCCTTGGCATGGCATAAAAGCCACTTCTTTGTGTATACTTGTAATTCAAGCAGGCAGTAAAGACAGATTGCAGAACATTCAGGAATAACAACCAAGAACAAGTGGGAAAGAAACATAATAAAAAGCCAGGATTATAATGTTCAAATACATGGTGCTGACAGCCTTAATGAATGTACTTTTCAAAGATTATGCATCACCAAAATCCCTTTTCACCAACAGGAGGCCAGGGAAACAGAGGAAGTAACACAAAAGGCAGATTTAGAATAAAGATGTAACATTAATTCAAGTCAGTGATAAATTAGAAAATAGTTCTTGAGAGTTAAATGACTCATAATCAATTTTAAGTGGTAAAATTTTCCAATTCTTATGTAGGGGAACACACACTGCTCTACCCCTACTTGGAATCAGCAACAAATAAAAAATAATAAATAAAAACATATTTTAAAAATAGAAAAAATATTTTTAAAATGTTTTAAATAAAAAATGGAGTGGTTCTGCATTTGTGATGGGTAAAAACCAGAATCAATTCTTTTTTTATTTTAATTTTAATTAAAAAAAATTTTTTTAAGTAGGCTCCATGCCTAGCATGGAGCCCAATGCAGGGCTCAAACTCACGACCCTGAGATCAAGACCTGCGCTGAGATCAAGAATTGGACACTTAACCGACTGAGCCACCCAGATGCCCCCAAACTGAAATCAATTCTGAAACTGTACCTGTGGCAGCTGGAATCCAAGAAGATGGCTGTGCCAGGGTGGAGGTGGACAGAGTGAACTGCCAAAAAGGGCATCCTGTGTGAGGGTCAGTCTTTACCAATGTGTACCAATTTAGGTCAGTTCCAAATTATCAGTCCAGGTCCAACTTGGGCACTTAGTCTCAGCTTACCAGTGACCAGGGTCACCTTAGGAGTTGATGTACCACAACATCCCTTGGCTGCTCCATGAGCTGGGGACTTGGTAGCTTCTGTACTCTGGAGAGGTCCTGTCAAAAACAGCTGCTAGAGGCGCCTGGGTGGTTCAGTTGGTTAAGTGGCTGCCTTTGGCTCAGGTCATGATCCCAGTGTCCTGGGATCGAGTCCCGCATCGGGCTCCCTGCTCAGCGGGAAGCCTGCTTCTCCCTTTCCCTCTGCCTGCCTGTCGCTCCCCCTGCTTATGCTCTCTCTCTCTATCTCTGTCTCTGTGTCAAATAAAAATAAATTAAAAAATCTAAAAAAAAAAAAAAGACAGCTGCTAGTCTGTCACCAAATCCCTTCCTCTGAGGTCACCTCAGCAGGATAGGCTCAAGCTGGCTGTGTTCTTCTACTCAAGATACCCTATAATAGGGAGTGTGGCCAGGGGAGATTTTTATTTAGCTATTAGTTAGATATATTTTCATTGTGTTACTTGCCTGCATGATGGATTGGGTGGATCAGTCACTTACTCAGGGGTGGACAAGGGCACAAAATCTGTGCAATGTAAGAGAGCAAGGGACATTGTGGCTACATAAAACTTTACTGCCCCACTGGCCTTTAAGTTCTCCATGTCTTACTCTTATACTCCTCATTGTTATACTATTCAGCATCAGGCCTGTATTCACTACAAAATAACCTAAAATGCTCAGCATATACACACCCACAGAGCCCCAACAACAGGTTGTTCCCTGACCTGAATCCATGTTTCTACACCTGTCTCAACTCTTCCTCCTAGTCTCAGTTCAACAGTCAAAACAATCTCTCCTCCCCATGAGCTCTCCAGTTGTCATGGTAACCAAAAGACAAATGCAAAGAAAAAAATCACATAACAAGGCTAGATACAAAATTTGAGCTATCTCCAGGGGACTTGTTGAGACTACTTCTTCTCATCTTGAATGCATGTAACAAATAAACTACAGTCTGTGTTGTTCGTTTTAACTGTTCACCTTGATTAGTTAAAGAAAGGTGTATGTGTGGGGGGACTAGCTCAACCTGTTTTAAAGAGGTTTGTTGTCAACCTTTTAAGGCAACTTGCTTTAATTGCCTCAGGTTTTTTAAAATGTCATGAAAAAGCTTCAGAAGTGACTCAAAAGTAATGTAATTCACTTCAGACAAAAAATACCCCATTTCTTGACAATAAAGAATGCTTTAAGTAAAAGCAGGTTGTCTGTACAGCTCCATCCTTGCTTATTTTGCCTTGATTGAGATCAAGCATAGAAACAATTTCTCCAAGTGTTCCACCAGCACGTATCATAGGGAAAACAGACTGCTCTTGGGATAGATTTTATACCAAGTATTTGAAAAAGTACTTCGTGAGATCAATTATTATTTCCTCTGATGTAAAACTCTATGCACTCAAAAATAAGAATTGAGCAACTACTAATTGTCATATTAACTCATCTCTCTCAATGTTGATATATGATGTTTTGATGCCCTCCCCCAGGAAATTTTGATGCCAGAGTACAGCATTCAAGAACCCTAAGATAGTGTGTATGACCTCTCCATCTCTTGCTCTCTCTTTTGGTATGTAATACACACACATTCTCTCCCTTTTTCTCTCTCCTTCTAATTTTTCCATTTCTCCCTATCTTTAGCAGATATTGTTGGAACTTCTCCATATGCCAATTCTTCCTATTCTCATGCTGGTAGAGTTCCACTTTTGAGTAGATCCCATCTTCCTGCCCAAGGCTCTCTAGCTCCAGCTCACTGCAGGAGGGAATTATGACCGATCGAAGGCACTCATATGGTCTCATTCTCCTTGCTGGGAATTGGTTAGGTAGGTATATAATTTGGAAAATTAGTTGTGAGCAGAAAGCTGCCAAAAACCTCTGTGTTTTTAATTTCAAATTCCATTTGTTCATTATGGGTATATAGGAATGCAATTGAATCTTGTATATTAGCCTTATATCCTGCAACCTTGCTATAATTGCTTATTAGTTCCAGGAGGTTTTTTTTTTTTTTCTCAATTCTCTTGGGATTTTCTACATAGATATTCATGTCATTTGCAATCAAAGACAGTTTTATTTCTTCCTTACCTATCAGTATACCTTTTATTTCCTTTTCTTATGTTATTGCATTAGCTACGATTTCCAGTATGATGTTGAAAAGGAATGGTGAAAGGAGACATCCTTGCCTTGTTCCTCATTTTAGGGGGAAAAATTAAAGTTTATCACCATTAAGCATGATGTTAGCTGTAGGTTTTTATAGATATTACCAAATTGAGAAGTTCCCGTCTATTCCTAAGTTTACTGAGAGTTTTTATTATGAATGGGTGTTGGGTTTTGCACACTGTTTTTCCTGCATCTATTGATATGATCATGTGATCTCTCTTCTTTATCCTGTTGATGTGATGGATTACATTAAATGAATGTTGAATCAGCCTTGCATACCTGAGATAAATCCCACTTGTTATGATGTCATGGTGTATAATTTTTTTATATACTGTTGGATTTTATTTACTAATGCTTTGTTGAAGATTTTCATATCTATGCTCATGAGAGATATTGGTCTACAGTTTTCTTTTCTTGTACTGTCTTTGTCTGGTTTTGGTAATAGGGTAATGCTGGCCTCACAGAATGAGTTAGGAAGTATTCACTCTGCTTCTATCTTCTGAAATAAATTGTGGAGAATTGGTACAATCTCTTCCTCAAATGTCTGGGAGAACTCACCAGTGAACCCATTTGGGCTTGGTGCTTTCTGTATTGGAAAGTTATTAATTACTGCTTTAATTTCAATTTCCCTAACAGATACAGGGTTTTCAGATTGTCTATACCTTCTTGTGTGACTTTGGCAGATTTTGTCTTTCTAATATATGCACTTAATGCTATAAAATTCCTTCTAAGGACTGTTTACACTGTATCCTACAAATTTTGATAACTTGTATTTTCATTTAGTTCAAAACATTTTTAAATTTACCTTGACAAAACCACAATAAGATACTACCTCACACCAGTCAGAATGGCTCAAATTAACAAGTCAGGAAATAACAGATGTTGGCAAGGACATGGAGAAAGGGGAACCCTCCTACACTGCTGGTGGGAATGCAAGCTGGTGCAGCCACTCTGGAAAACAGTATGGAGGTTCCTCAAAAAGTTGAAAATAGAGCTTCCCTATGATCCAGCAATTGCACCACTGGGTATTTGCCCCACAGATACAAATGTAGCAATCTGAAGGGGTACCAGCACCTCCAATGTTAATAGCGGCAATGTCCACAATAGCCAAACTATGGAAAGAGCCCATATATCCATCGAAAGATGAATGAATAAAGAAGATGTGGTATATATATACAATAGAATATTATGCAGCCATCAAAAATTGAAATCTTGCCATTTGCAATAATGTGGATAGAACTAGAGAGTATTATGCTAAGCGAAATAATAAGTCAATCAGAGAAGGACAATTATCTCACTGATGTGTGGAATTTAAGAAACAAGGCAGAGGATCATAGGAGAAGAGAGGAAAAAAATGAAACAAGATGAAACCAGAGAGAGAGACAAACCATAAAAGACTCTTAATCTTAGGAAACAAACTGAGGGTTTCTGGAGGGGAGGGGGATGGAGGGATGGGGTAACTGGGTGATGGACATTGGAGAGGGTATGTGTTGTAATGAACACTGGGTATTATATAAGGCTGATGAATCATAGACCTGTACCCCTGAAATCAAATATATTATATGTTAATTAATTGAATAAAAATAATGAATTTACCTTGAGATTTCTTCTTTGACCCATGTGTTATGAGGAAGAATGTTGTTTAATCTCCAAATATTTTGGGATTTTCCAATTGTCTTTCTGTTGTTGATATCTAGTTTAATTCCATTGTAGTCTGAGAGCAGACATTCTTTCAAATGTGTTAAAGTGTGTTTTATGGCCCAGAATATGGTCTATCTTGGTGAATGTTCCATATGGGCTTGAGAAGAATGTATATTTTGCTTTTAGATGAAGAAGGCTATGGATGTTCATTATATCCAGTTGATTGATGGTACCTTTGAGTTCAACTATTTCCTTACTGATTTTCTGCTTCCTGGATATATCCATTTCTTTTTTTTTTATTAAAGATTTTATTTATTTATTTGACAGAGAGAGACACAGTAAGAGAAGGAACACAAGCAGGGGGAGTGGGAGAAGGAGAAGCAAGCTTCCCACAGAGTGGGGAGCCCGATGTGGGGCTCAATCCCAGGACCCTGGGATCATGACCTGAGCCGAAGGCAGATGCTTAACGCCTGAGCCAACGAGGTGCCCCTGGATATATCCATTTCTGATAGAAGGGTGCTGAAATCTCCAAATGTAATAGTGAATTAATCTATTTCTCCTTGCAGTTCTATCAATTTTTGCCTTACATATTTTGGTGGTCTGTTGTTAGGTGTATACACAATAAGGATTGTGATGTCTTGAAGAATTAAACCCTGTATTATCATGTAATGTCCCACTTCATCTCTGATAACTTTCCTTGCTCTTAAGTCTGTTCTGTCTCTCTAAACTATTTTGTTTTTTGTTTTTTTTTGTTTTTTGTTTTTTTGCTACTCAATATGTCTTATAACTTTTTCATGATAGTTGGACATGATGTACTGGGTAAAAGAACTGCTATAAATAGGTCTTTAGTAATGTGGTAAGGTGTGAGGGGAGTAGAAGTATTCTGTAGTCCTAATGATTAGCATTAGTTTTTTAAGGAGCCTGTGCCTCCTTAAATTGTGAAATTCACAAGTACCTTTCAGGCTTCTCCCCAACTTAGAAGGGACAGCATGGCTAGAGTGGGCTTAGGTTGGGTATTTCCCTTTCCTTAGGTGAGTTAGGCTCTGATAAAAACCCAGCAGATTAGGCTCTGGTTAAGCAGTTTCTTCTGAGGGCAGGCCTTGTTAAGAACAGATGCTCTGGCATATTCAAAATGGCTACTTTCCCCCTTGCCCTGCCAGAAGCATGAGGGATTTTTCTCCAATATTCACTATGAGAACCTGGTCAAGGTCCTGGGGGTAAAACTGACAATAGTATATACCCCCATATGACTGGGTCTTCTTGGAGTTTATGATTCTCAGACTTGGCCACATTGAGCCTCCAGTAATTCATCAATTGCAGTTTGGGTTTTTCAACCCTTGCACTGGTCCCTGAGGTTTCTGCTTGTGGGTTTCTGCTACACTAAATTTTGATTTATATGAAATAAGCCTGTGTCTCCAGTTTGGGGGCAGCAGTTTGCATTGTAACCTCACTTCTCTGATGGACCCAAGAAAGCTGTTGATTTTTCAGTTTGTTAAGCTCTTTATTTTTTGTTAGGATGCAATGGCAACTTCCAAATTTCTTACATGCCTGACTGGAAGCCGGAAGTCAGTAGTCATCTTTTGACCATAAGGCTGAAAACCACCATTTAGGATGACAGAGCAGGAAGATAAAAAGGAGACTGGTCATTATTGATGTCTCTGACTTGCTGCACTTGGATTGACTTCCTTGGGACTTCTTACTTGGAAAACATAATACACCTCTCTTTGATTAAGCCATTCTAGTTTGGTTTTCATTACATGTAGCTAAATGCAATCATAACTGATACATACTTGGCCATTTCACTCCTAACTGATATTCCTAACTAAAGGGTGGGCAGAAAAATATGAGAGAGAGAGAGAAAAAGAGAGAGAGAATGTGTGTGTATATGTGTATTGCTCATTCCAGCTTGTGATTTATATAGAATTTTTTTAAACAATGAAATCCACAAAAATAATACCTTTTAGCCCTCCCTTTGCCATATAGTATTGGGTTATGTTCTCCTGTTGCTTTGAGTCCAAAATCTTTAATTTTCTTCTAATGTTAGAAATTTCTAGGATATATCAGGCTGTGGACATCTCATCATCGTAAAATCAGTTTCCCTCCCACAGCCCAGAGCTAACTCCAACAGATTCAATTTCCCTTCATCCACAATATGCATATTATAATAGAAGGTGGATCTTGTAGTTCATCAGGAAATGTAACATTGTTAGAGATAGAAAACTGACTACATGCTACCATTTCTTCCATTACATAAATAGAAGATCTCTATAGAGAATAGGAAACCATAAAAAGTGCTATACCAAATTTGCTCAAGAATCTAAAAGAATTAAATATATATACACAAAATACAATAACTGAAATTAAAACTGCAAAGATGGAGCTTCCAGGTTGGTGGACACATTCAGATACTAGGAGGGTAGCACACCCTGAGGACATCAGAGCTCCATGCTACACATGCCCCCATATTTTGCCCTATGCATCTGTTCGTTTGCTGTTTTTGAGTTGGAGGAGAAGGCCATGTGAAGACAGAGGCACAGACTGGAGTTATGCTGACAAGCTAAGGCAAGGTTATAGCCATCAGAAGCTGAGAGTGGCAAGGAAAGATTCTCCACTAGAGCCTTCAGAGGGAGCATGGCCCTACTGACACTTCAATTCAGACTTCTGGCCTCAAACTCTGAGATAATAAATTTCTGTTGTTTTAAGCCAAGAACAAACAAACAAACAAAAAAACCCAAGGCCAGATCCCTGCTCTGAAAAGATAGCTCTCAGACTTGGCTGCACATTGGAAACACCTGAGAAAGCTTAAAACAAAAAACAAGCAAAGAAAAAAACACTCCATGCTCCAACCCAGATCACTTGAGTGATAATCTCAGGGGGTGAGGTCCAGGAATCAGTTCCTTAAAATGCTATGCATCCAGGGTTAGGAACTATTACTCTGGATCAGGGGTGAGCAAACTGTGGCCCTTCGGCCAAATCTGCCTGCTGCCCTCTTTTGTAAATAAAGTTTTATTGGAATACATGCACA